GTGTTTATCCAAACTAATCCAATCTCAAGTGTTGCTCAAAGCAGGAGCGGCTGAATGTACATCTCTTTGAAGTATGTACGAGCAGGAAGAGAGTTGGACAAATGTAACTTCATCAGAAAATAAAAAACCACATTCCGATTATATAAACAGACCAAGATTTTTTATGCCAAATGAACAGTTCAACGTGAAGTTGATGAGAAAACCCGAAAATCATCATACCGATTGAAAATCATCACAAGTGTGTCCACCACTGTCTGATAGAGACCTTGTACAAAACCTCGCAGACAATCCAGCGCGGACAGCTCACAGTCCCCTCGATCCGGAGAGCCGAAAACAGCCATAGAGAGTTGTTCAACTGAGCAGTTTAACAGATACGCAGCGCGGTGTGCCGGCTCCATATACATAAAACCTCGTGTAGTCGTGTTCCCGTCGTCATCATCTTCTAGATCCTCTTCTTCCACTTGAGATCCATTTATAAAGCCATCTTCCACACAACCGGCACAGCCCAAATGATAAATGATGGCCAGAAGACGCGCAATACCTCCGGTCAACCATTCATCGTCCATATTGAAACCGAGAAGATCCGCGTCGTGACACAACTGAATCCAGTAACCCCGAGCCGCCTCCCGATCTTCGGGCTGCAGTGGAAAAAAATGAAATCCCAGTTCAGAGTATACTATCATCATCAAGGTTCTCGATACATCGGTTATCATTCAACGGAGATGAGCAAGAAGTAAAATGAGCGATAGTAAGAGGCATGGAGTCAACAATACTTGTTGCAAACTTGGTTTCCATAATTAATCCTCATCGATCAAAAGGCTGGATGAAAACATAATTTTCTGCAAATCATTAGAGTAAAGAAAACAAACGCGCACAAATAATAACGTTTCAATATCAATCAAGAATTTTCTTTTCGATTAGTCATGGTGACGACGTTCAATTTGTCGAGGATGAAAACTACTATACACATGTGCATTCTGCTTCCCTCTATAGTGCTGTACCACAGGTCTCGTTTGTCCACAGAAGTTAGCCATAATCTCACCATCATGTCTGCTACACCGCAGACGATTGAGCGATAGCTCAGTCAATGTTCCTGTAAGAAGCAAAGCCCAATCAGATCCTACGTTATTTTGAGCTAATAACGTTTAAATTACAATCAATCAGGTGTTTTGTGCTCATGCCGTTTCCAACTTGGCTTATTTTACAGTGCTCTGATTTGTTATCTCTCGATAAATCATTCGTCCAGGGTGTGTTTGGTGTGAGTCATATTGAATACAGATACATATCGGGCATTGAATGTTCAGGGTGGCGAACTGGAATTACCGAAAGATCTCATTAGTTTGTGTACAGTAGATGACCTCGGATGAGCTTATTCGGTAATCAAGTACACGTGGAGTAGAACCACGGCAAACATTTATCAGCCTGAAGTTCGACTCGGACGTCGGATAGCCGAACTTTGTGTCGAATGACACTCCCTAGATGAAATACATGAGTTATGCTTAGTTGGATTAGAAATGGGAACTAATGTTATTTTAGATATCTTATGCTCTGCCCTCAGGGAACTTAATTAGTCGCACGAGTTGTAAAGGTACAATGATCTTAGTGAAAAACTGGGACAACCTATGAAAGTCTTTCCGAGGTAAATTCAAAACTAATGTGTTTCTATATGTTTCTCGCCTCGTGGTTAATTAGGATAGTTTTTGTATTCAATCCAAAGACCATACGTATTTTTCATAAAAGTAACACCTGACTTGGGTGGAAACGAAAGCTAGTAGACAGTCATTTATTGTAGGCTACGGAATCCCGCCACACTCAGATTAACACAGGTGTGCAGGACAATTCTCGGAAGCTGAAAATATGGTGACCGTTTTGCTAAATCTGAGCCCGACACATTCTGTTTTCGAGAAACACTAAAGTGAGAGCGCAATAATAATAATGATAATAACCAATAACTGATAGGAACAATCATACTTACTCGATGCAACTTTGTCATGAAAAGATTGGGTTCGTTTGCATCCGTTAGGAACAGTGCACGTCTGAAAAAGAATCCGGACAATCAGAGAGGATCCAAACAGAAAATGAGTGGCGAAATACATCACAAACCGAATAAATGTTTGACAAAGAGACAGTGTTATAAACCCACAAGAGGGTGCCTGGACGAGGATAATTATTTATTATGAATCACGGTCAAGGTATTGGTAAATTGGTATACATACAACGAAACGGCTCATTGCAGCCAGTCTTCAGAACTTCTACACGCACACAGGATAGTTAATGCAACCGTCCAACAATAGATGCGCATTCCTGTGGTTACCATAATGAACACAGCAATTTGATCCAATAGATTTTGTTCATTTCTGACCGTTAAAAGAAATCCTCAACCGCATTCTTCTGTGTACTACTCACACATGTCAGCAGTAACTCAAAACAGTAGTGGAGGTACTACAACGCAAACACATGAGTGTCGTAGAAACTCAGATTGTGTGGGTCCATAGATCGGAGGACCAAGGAGGGCATAAGCAAAAAAACAGCGATTTCAAATAAACAAAAAAGGGATCAAATAAATTGGTCTAGGCTAAATGAAAAGATGCAGAAATTTCACAGTTGAATGAAGTGGAAACAACTAAATATTAATAGGTGGTCAAATTATCCCACCGGGGGAGGTCTGTTGGAATCTGTGTTTTATGACAGACCTCGGATTGACCGCTTTCTTCTTGCTGAAAATTGTATTGTTTATTCCACAAAAGGAAGTAGAATGAAAAAGAAAAACGGATGGCACTGATGAAATCGAGAACCGAGTGACTCGGGCTAAGGACCACGATTAGAACGTGTAAGCGAGTATAACGTTCTGAGGGATAACTGAAGTGCTCAAAATGCACACACGATGTCCGGATGTCCAATACAAGCACCAAATTTCACATTTTTCCTCTGCTACTTATGAGTAGCTAAATAAAGAATATGACTAACGGCATTCTAGAAGTAGAAAACGAATGAGCTACAAAAGGATGCCAGACAGCAAAAATATCTTTATTTTTTCTTCCGAAGAATTGCCATTTTTCACATTTGAATGGCTATATCAGACCTAAATCTCACGCCGTAGTTCTTTATTATCGAGCGAATACAAATTATATGAGAGTAGGACAGGGAATCCCTTCGGTTGCATATGTGGTACACTTTGCAGTGTTTCCTTTGTTCTCTTCAGTTTTTACAACCATTAACCATGTATTTGGTGTCCTCTTGGCTTCAGGTAAAAGTAAAGAGT